CGAGTCCAAATTCACCCTCTCCAAAGATTGCACCATGCACCGATTCACACATTTTAGATATTATACAAAGCACCGATTCACCCCCCTTGGGAATATCACCCAGCCCAAATTCATCCACTCCAATGATTGCACCAAGCCTTGGTTCCAGCTCTTCAAAGATTACACCAAGCTCCGATTCATATACTCCAAGTCCTGCTCCAACCCTCAGCTCCCCTTCCTCATCCTCTCCTACTTCTCCACCACCATTGACATTACCAAAGCCAAAAGGGTTCTCAGGTTAGCTGCGCAGCGGACTGAAGGCGGGAATACTTCTTGGAGTGTATGTATCGGCTAGAGTCTTAGGCTGTTGTGGCATGGTCTACAAGAAGCGTCGTGCCAATATCAGACGGAGCAAATATGGTTTTGCAGCAAGGAAATTGGATCCATTTTTTCACGGTTACCATTGATCTTTTTCTTCTACTAGCGTCACAATGTTGTTATCTTTCTTATTTCTTCCATATATGTTCCTCGGGTACTTTCTCTATCGCCAAATTTGTGGGTTGTGTTTTTATTCAATCCGTACTTGCAACTGCAAATCATTACTTCTTAACTCAATTTCTTTGATCCTTAACTAGTTAAATGGGTGATGATAAATCTAAAGGACTTTCATTCTTTGTCTTTGATTGCACAATTCAGTTTATGGGTGGTCTAGTCTAGAGTAGAGATGCAATTCCTATTAGCTCTCAGTTAGAAAGGCTCGTTTCTTCTGCTTATATTTGGGGTTGGAACCTGCATGGGTGGAACCTGCATGGGCTTATATTGTCAGTAGATCCAGTCCAGTAAATTATATGGCTCTAATTCAGACCCAAATGAGACGCCCAAGTGAGGTAATGTGAAGACTGGAGATTGGAACATGTTGCTTGTCCCTTGTACCAGCTTGTGAAAGAGGGCATAAACGGAGAAATGGGTGGGGATGGCAATTCTCCCTGTACCCGTGGAGACTAGAGTAATGGTTAGATGGCACCAGAAGTATTTTCTCTTCGTAAAATTTTGTAAGAAATTTTTTTCGTCTCGCTAGAATCTTTGTTTCCCTTGCAATAATAAAAAAACTAAATTATTAAATTTAACCAAATTTAAGTATTTAATTTATAGTTATAGATTATATACATTACTCATTCTTAAATTTAACACAATATTAAAGTACAATTACTTTAAACAAACTCAATCCAATACTTTTTTTTAAAACTTTAACCTAACTTTTTAAAAATATTTTATTTTAAAATAATAACATAATAAATAATTAAATTAATTTTTAATATAAATTGATGGGAGATGAGAAATCCTTGCGGGTAATGGAGATAGAGAGCAAATTCTACCTCCGTCAACATTTTTTGCAAAGATTTTCATTTTTACAATTTGTAAAGACAGAAATAGAAAGGTACTTCTTAATCTTACAGGATTTCGTTGCCATTCCTAATAATGGCACGAGATAAATGCGACAGTGGCCAAAGAGTTATGGAGCTGCCTACAATTATATTGTGACAAACAAAACCTAAAATACGGACAACCTCTCCTTGAAATTTGAAGGGATACCCACGGTTCTGATTACAACGTTGTATGGCCTTTTGTTTTGATGTCTCCTGTTCACAAGCTCATTGACTCCCATTCCATCCCATCCCCTGCCCATTAGCTGCCAAAACACATCAACGCTGCATCCATCACCACAGCTGTTTCACTGTTGCTCTTGTTTTTGTCTCTCCCCCCCCCCCCCCCCCTAAAATTCTTTTTCTAGGAATTAGAAAGCGTGTATCCGGGATTAGTGCTCTAAACATTCTGTTTCTGTTGTAGGAGTTGAGTTTGGGTCATGACACCTTAGCGAGATGGAAAGTCAATATAAGAGTTTTACCTAAGTAAAGAGATTAAGAACTTGATTTTTGGAGTTGAATTGGGGTCAATAATCAAGGACCAAGGAAGATATAGAAAATGAGGGACAGGATCGTTGCGGTCATTATGGGTTTAGTTGACAATCTTTGTGACAAATTTACTACCACTTCTAATGATGCTGCCACCACCGTGATGAGCGGCATTAACTGCCTTTTGTCCCTCAAAAGACCAAAGTGAAGACTAATATGAGAGGGTTTGGACTTTGGGCTTTGCAGCAGCATGTGGAGGAATAGTGGAAAGTCAATTAGTTAGCTAAGTTAGGAAATAAATGAGGTTGTTACCAAGCTTATGAACAGTTGTAGTACCGACCAAAGTGGAAATAAAATGATTGTAGACCTCACAAATTACATACTACAGTGCCCATGCTTAGAACAACTGGCAATGGTTATCTTAGGATGTGATTAATTGATTATGATCATCACTAATTTTTACATGCAATTTTTTTTAATTTATAATTTTTTAAAAACAACTATAATATTTACAAATATTTATTTCTAAACTGATTTTAATATTTTAAATAATAAAAATTAATTATTTTAACATTTAAATTAAAATAAAATTTTGACAATTTTAATAATCCTAATGAAATTAGTGGTTGCAACAACTATAGCGGTTATCTTAGTAAGTGATTACTCTTGATTGTTAAGTTTGAGCTCCATAGTACCCTCCGCTATTGTAATAGAGTATGATATTTAAAATAATAATAATAATAATAATAAATATTAAAGTGCATCTTGTCTATAGATGATAGGTGATTCTTAACTTAATCACATAAATAAAATCCATCTCTAAGTCTATGGTTAGAATGCCATTGTAGACATTACTTCGTTGCCCATATCCCTATGTTTAAAAAAAAATAAAAAAAATAAGAAAAGAGGCAAGGTTGGCTGCTTCTAAGTTATAATTATGTCTATTATTAAATTTTTTAAGGTCATTATTAAATTTGTTAAGATTATTAAAAATTGTTAAATTTTTATATTAATTTAATTATTAAAAATAATTAATAATCAATAAAATAATTAATATTTATTATTTAATATACTAAAATCAATTTATACATAAATATTTTCAAATATCATAATTTATTATTTAAAAAAATTTAAACAAATAAATTTACAATTAATTTAATAACCTTGGCAAATTTGACTATGACAACAACCTCAGCCCCTCCCCTGAATGCCAAACTGAGCCATGAAAACTTTTGACCCTTTAACTACCGAAAAATATATATATAAATATAAGTATATACTTTGTTGGTTATAAAAAATATATATATACCTAACCTCATTGTGATTTATGCTAGTGCTATAATTTATTCCTTCTATTTACTTTCACAATGTTTTTAAAATAATTTTTACCATCTCAAAAGCTATATTCTCATGGTATAATTAAAAAAATTAATTTTTTAATATAAATTTTAAAATTTAAATATTAAATTTAAGTTATAAGAGATAAAACAATACTTATTTACAATAAATCTAATTTTTGGATTATACTAATAAAATAATATTTCATTTATATATAAGTTTTACACTATACTTATATAAAATATTAATTATTTATTTTTTTATTTTTAATCATTAAAATTTATTTATATTTATTTAAAAATTATTTTTTTTTAAATTATAATAAATTTTAATTATTAAAAATAAATAATAAATAATTAAAATTTAGATAAATATATAAAATTTACTTACAAATAAACTCCTACTCCCTATTATAATTAAATGCAAACTCTATCTTCCCTTAATCTTGAGAAGTTGAAATATTACTACCACAACTGCTGATGCAGAACACAGTGCTGACGTAGCATTGACCCACATGACACGTCATCACCTGCAAATTACATATAAGCGGACCCCACTTTTAGCCATTCCATCTAATCCGAAGGATAATTTCGTCCAAACGACAAACGATACACCAAAATGACGAAATTAGTGCTTCTTTCCAGTCTCCATTCTTCTGTTTGCCGACGACCGTCGGTGTTCCCATGGGCCCCACGCGGTAACCACAAGCGCGGGAGAACGAACGGCAACATTAATATGTGTTAGAATTTTCTTTTTGACCGTTGATCACGGACGAACAGAAATCAAGCGACGTCCGCCGTCCGATCAATAACGGACGATCAACCGAAGACCCCAACGCCGATTTTTAGAAACGGTAAAAATGGATATGATATAAAATTTAGGAGAGAGAAAAATGGAAATGTTGCTATGGTTTTGAAAAAGCTATAAACAGACACGCCCTGCAACTGCTGCTGTGTTCTTGACTCCTCCTCCTCCTCCTCTCCTCTGCTCCATTTGGCTTCTTCTGGGTTTTTTTTTTTTTTTTTAAAAAAAAAAAAGCTTTTTGGGGTTTTTTTGGGCTTTGGTATTGTCAACCTTTTTCTTTTCATGTATCAATTCCAATAGCGAGTCAGATAGCTTAGTCTTGGCGTGCTCTGTCAAAACTCAAAAGAAAGGTAGAAGATTGATCAAAAGGGTTTCTGAAAGGGTTTTTCTTTCTTTCTTTTTCTTCTTTTCCGGTGAAGGGAATGATTGGTTTTGTTTCCTAGTTCAAATTTAAGTGAAAGCGAAAGTTAGAAAGAAGAAAAGGAAAAGATCTTGGATTGTGTTGGAGTCGTGTTTTTGCCGAGTTTCCTTAGGATGGGGAAGACTGGGAAATGGGTATTGGGTTTGTAATTAGAAGGTGGAGTATTTATTTTTGGATTGTTCTAAATACACCTTCGAACTCACTATTCATTGTGAAACATTATTTGGAGAAAAATTAATGGGCGTTAATGGCGAGGTAAAGGTCCTTATTTGTCAAATTTATTTCTTCTGCTATTAAGGAAACTTCTTTAGTTAAGTTGGGTTGGGTTAATAAATTCTAAAGATTACGTTAGAATTGAAATTGACAACTTCACTTGGTGAGCTAATCTGTAGTAGCAGGCGGGTTTATCGAGAAATGGCTTCCATTCCTTCGTCGGAAATGCAGGAGCCGAGCATCGACAGGGACAAGCTCAGCTATGAAATCTTCTCAATCTTGGAGAGTAAGTTCCTGTTTGGTTATGATGATCAGAAGCTGTGGATTCCCAAACAGATCTCTCCGGCGCCGGCACCGAAGCCTGAAGCGGTGCCTCAACCAACAACCGACAGCAACAGCGTTTCTGCAATCAAGAACCAGAGAGGTAAAATCTGTATACTCAGCATTGATAGTGGAGGCATGAGGGGGATTCTCTCGGGGAAATCCTTGGCTTATCTGGAACACGCGCTCAAGTCACAGGCCGGCAACCCAAACGCAAGAATCGCCGATTACTTCGACGTTGCTGCCGGCTCCGGAATCGGCGGCATCTTCACGGCCATGCTCTTCGCTACAAAAGACCAGAACCGTCCGATTTTCAATGCGGAGGATACTTGGCGTTTTCTCGCCGATCAAGGCAAGCGAATGTACCGTGGCAGCGGTTCGGGTTCCGCAAAAAATGGCGGTGTTCTCAAGAAAATTTTTAAACCTGCTACGGCCACTTCAAACTCCTCCGGTCTAGAGAAGGCGTTGAAGGAAGCCTTCACGGAGAAAGGCCGGAGTCTGACTCTGAAAGATACGCTGAAGCCGGTTTTGATTCCGTGCTACGATCTTTCCAGCACGGCGCCGTTTCTGTTCTCGAGGGCGGATGCGCTGGAGACAGACAGCTACGATTTCCCGCTGTGGGAGGTTTGTCGGGCCACAGCGGCCGAACCGGGTCTGTTCGAACCGGTTCTGATGCGGTCGGTCGATGGGCAAACAAAGTGCGTGGCGGTTGACGGCGGGTTGGCGATGAGTAACCCGACTGCTGCGGCAATTACGCACGTCTTACACAATAAACAAGAGTTCCCGTTTGTTAGAGGTGTGGAGGATTTGTTGGTGTTGTCTCTGGGCACGGGTCAGCTTCTGGAAGTGAGCTTTGACTATGAGCAGGTTAGGAATTGGAAGGTCAAGGACTGGGCTCGACCGATGGCTCGAATCTCTGGTGATGGCTCGGCCGACTCAGTGGACCAGTCTGTGGCCATGGCATTTGGGCAGTGTAGAAGCAGTAACTATGTGCGCATTCAGGTACATTATTTCTTTCGCCTTAACTAGAACTGGGTTTACACATAGGTATTCTTTAAGTATTTCATTAATAATACATAATTTTTAGGCATTTGGGCTGCGGAAATGCTAATGTAACAATACCACGTAGAATGAATTGTAAAATTATATTTATAATGAATTATCAGATAAGTGAATATATATTATACTACAAATAAGTTAGGTAAGTTTATAATATTGCTTGATATTATAAATATATTATTTTTAATTGGGTTTTGTATAGGGAAGGAAAGGTGTATGTGATTTGCTGGATAAAAGGGAAACGGATATATTGCCTTGTTTACTTAGAGTGCAGGTGTTGATGGCACTGGGATTGGAATTGGAATTTATTGAGTTGTGGCATCTTTGATGGCCCGGTAGTAGTTGGAGGGATACATGTTTTCCCATAATTAACTCAACTTGTACCATCACCCCTCTTGTGGTCTTAAATGCACCAGAACCGGGTCCCTGATTTTTCCCTTATTGTTCTACCTTTGTTTTCCATTTTTATGTCTTTAAGCTGGTCTTAATGATGATTGAAGGGAATCAAAGGTTTCTCATGTTTTAATTTTGTTAGTACAGTTCTGATTTCTTGTGCTTGGAAGGTGAAACCTATGACATCATGAATTCATGATGTCTGTCGCCTTCAGTTAATTTACTAGGTTTGTGGATTCAGGGATGTTATACTTAATTTTTTTTTTTCCTATTAAAATCTGTTCTAAATTACATGTGAAAAAGTTGATTCATCATGATCAGTAATATTGGTGTAACAGGCAAATGGGTCCAGTTTAGGCCGCTGTAACCCCAATGTTGATACCGACCCCAGTCCTAGCAATGTAAAGATGCTGATAGGTATGGCAGAGGAAATGCTAAAGCAGAAAAATGTGGAGTCAGTGCTCTTTGGAGGTAAAAAGATTGCAGAGCAGAGTAACTTCGAGAGGTTGGATTGGTTTGCTGGAGAACTTGTGCAAGAGCATCAGAGGAGGAGTTGCAGAATTGCTCCAACCGTTGCTTTCAAGCAAGCTACTCCCAAAACCAATTAGGCTTCTCTCAACGTACTTTCAACCAAACCCAAAAGAAAGGGAAAAAAAACAAAAAACAAAAAAAAAAAAAGGAGGTAAGTTTTCCCTTTCCAAGCTTAATATTTTGCAACTGCATCTATTAATAGTGTCCCCTTCAAAGAAAGCATCTTACTGGACCCTGCATTATTGCCAATGATCAAACTGGCACACGTGTTATGATATATATATGATTGATATGCTGATATAAGTACCAGACTTTTCAAGAATCCAAATTTTGATGGTATTTGAATGTATATAAGAAATGATGTTTTTTTCTTGACCTCAGAATACAACCATGGCGACCCATTGACCATAACTCTAATCCCAGATTCACCTTTTCAACTTCTGTTGTGTCTCTTTCACTTGAAATTCATTTCACCTAACTGCAAACCAGCACATTAATGGCCATGTACTCATACCTACTCATATAAAGTTTACTTAATAGGAAGCAGAAGTTCTGTAGTGAACTTCTGTTGAAAGGTTGTGGTTTCAAGCAAATGTAAATTTTGACACGTAATTGCGAGCTGGCATTATAATTTTCAGATTTTTTGTGATCGTGGACTCAAGTTCTGTCTGTTTCTTGCTTGGAGTTTTTGAATGGAAAGATCCGTTCTTGCAACAACCAATTGTTGTTGTCGTCGTCATTATCTATTTAACATAAAATCACGGGTTCAAATAATCTTCTTTCTATAGAGAAAAAGAATAAGATCAGGAAACAGTGATGTAGGGAAGATAGTCCTCCGTCTTGTCTGTCTACCGACGCTCATTCTTGAGATATATCAAGGATAGTCTGGTCATTTAAGGGAACATAACTAGATAAGGACGGTAACCCTCGAGAAAATAGAAAGTAAATAGAGAAAAGTAACCTATTCATTGTTCATGCAGGATAAGTGTCACATATACAGCTCCAATTTCAAAAGACTTCATGTTGTGCTCAGTCTTCTGTGACCTTCTCTATATGCATTTTACACATATGTTCTATTAATAACTCTTTTTTCCTTAAATGCAGGGTGAAAAACTTATATAAAGAAGAAAAAAAAAAAATAGTAGCATAGAAGATTAGCTGCTTCTACATTTGAAAGTGAAGATGAGCATGCGAGGGTCATGGGAATTGAGTGAAGAAGACAACTATTGGAGAAGGCGTGGAAGATCTTAGTGGGATACTTTGCCTGCCTTAGGACAAGCATTGTGGTGTCCCCTCCAACTTTCCAAAATGGCAAGGAGCCAAGAATTAAAGCGATGAGACTTCAGCTTTTGAATGTCAAACCAGATTCAGGTGTTAAATCTTTTGATTTTTAAAATGAAAATAGTCTTGGAAAACTGTTTTCATATTTCTCTCATTTCTCCTCCCTTAATCCTTGGTCTCAAGAAAACCTTTTTTGGGTGGTGGAATTACCTTATGATGAACCCCTGGAAAAATCGCCAAAGTTGTTGATCTGACCTTTGGTGGTCTTTCGTTTCTTAGTAAATTATTTCTTGTTTTTTGTTTGCTTTGAATAGAAAAAAAATGTGGTGGTGGAGAAAAGGTTTGAGAATGTGGTGTCTTTTTTCAAGCAACCGACCATATATCTCTTGGGATTAGAGGACAAGTCTATGGGCTAATATTGGAGGAAAGGGTGTGAAACCCTTGTCTACAACTAGGAGATTCTCATTCTTGTATCTCTTGAGAGGAAGGAAATTGCAAACTCTTCCTTGGAAATTTTCCTACGTGATAAAGTAGTTGGTGGCGGTGGGCTGTATTTGTTGTCTAGTATTGATGTTTGCTGTTGCTTCTTGAACTCTCTTGCACTTCGCCTTTTCTCATGGAATATGCAATGGTATTTGCTTGTCTTTATCTGCTTTTCATTCGGGGAATATACATTCTCTTATGTGCCCTTATCTTCGTGTTTTTAATCACTTGAACAAGACTTCATTGCCAAATGGTACGTGTGTTATATAACCTAAATGTCAATTCTTAAAAAATGATTATTCAAATCATAATTCATGAAACATGCAGATGGATCAGCCCCAATCAAAGCATGAATATTAGTCAAACAACAGAAAACAAGGACAACATTAGCGACAATTAAATCCTACTAAACATGCTTTCATAAAATTGACCCAATTACACCAACCCAAAACTTAATCATCCTGTGATATAACTAACATCATTAACATAACATGGATTATTTACTATTAAAGTAGGTTTTTAGTTACATCCTTCTTTTTGCAGTTTTCAGCAAATCCCTAGATTCCATATATCCTATGATCCTTTTCCCTCCCTATCTCACCCCAAATTTCTCTACTTTAACCCCTTTTCATAACTCCTTTTTGACAATATCATTGTAGGAACAATTTCTACTGTTTAGGCGCCTAAAACTTTATTTCTCCTGTAGATTAATAATGGGTAGAATGCAATTTACCTAAACCCTCACAGCTTTAAAGCAAAGATGACGACACAAACTTTATGCTATTGTTAATCAAGCCTAATTATTATATCAAGATGTCAAAAGAAGACTAGACTAAAGTATTACCATTCTAAATCACATGCAGAGAAAACGACCCTACTTGTCTAATTCATAGAAAATGTTGGTTGAAAATTGCTTTCTAACCATTTCATTTTAAAAAAAGAACATAATAATGTGAAGATAAATGAATTAGATCAATAAAGCAAAAGGAATTAGGAACCTAGGAATAAATCAAGCAACACGGACCATGCACAACAATTTTTTATGTGAATGTGTAGGACCGTTTGCTAAAGGTCATTTTTCTGGTACATGGTCCTTATCAGAGTTCATAACAAAGGGTATGTTCCTTTCTGTCATCTCTCTTCTTTCCTCCAAATTGTTCATTTGTTCTTTTAATATAATGCATTATTAGGTCACCCCATCTTTCTGTTTCTACTTTCTCCCTCTCTCATGCATTATATAATCTTGTTTTGTTGAAACCTAACTTTCTAATGGATCTGTTTTATCTTTTCTCATCATAACTCTATGAACATATGCAACTTTTTTGAGCATTAGAGAATTGAAGCTTTTTATTTCCCCTATTCACATCTTGTCTTAATCTTCCCTCTTTTCTTGATTGGAATGTTTAAAGGTCTAAACAAGACAATTTATTAAATACAAATTGTATTTATATGGCTGCAGATTCATGACTCATCTAATTTTATTTTATTTTTTAAGATTAAGACTAGACGTTTTCAATAAACATAGAGAAATTATGGAGAAAAATGCATTTTTGAATTGGATGTATGGGACCTGAGATGAGGAATTTATATGAATGGGATGATTAGTTTAATCGGATGTTAATTGAAAAGGATGACACCAGACATGAAATGAGAATAATATGGGATTTTTCCATTCCGTGCGTGTATGCAAACTATTGTTCCTATTGCTTGTTGCAAGTATAGTTTAAACTTTAAAAAACATTAGGGTATGCAATTTGGATTGGTTTAGGATGATGGGATCATTTTCTGTCACTTTCTGGAGAAAATGGGAGAATTCTTCGCTTAGAGGCTCTGAAATTTGAATTGAACATGACATGGTATTATCATATCAATTGGCGGAGTGTCAGACCAGAGATTCAACCCCATCTCGTATGGATAGGAAAACATGTACCTTACTAATTAAAGTACAAGGTTTGGTGCGGTAACGCCCCTAATCTAGCGTTTATTGAACAGTGACTAATTTAGGTAGGTGCTCTGCCAGTGCCATTTTCAATGATATTTTTTTTTAACAGTAACTGAAATGCCATTTTCAATGATTCTGTTTTTGAAGTCATGAAACAGACATATTTCAACAGCCTGGAAATTATAACTTACCCATTATTATTTTAGAAAAGTCAAAGAGAGCTTTGCTCAAAATCTGGTTTCTGTTAGATCAACCTGATTGATAATGGCCAACCGGGCCTCTGCCCGAATGGTTGACCCTAAGTCTTAGGGTTTGGATGAGGCGGAGGTTAGGGTTTCAAGCTCTGCCACAGTCGTAAATTCCACCAACTTGTGACCTAATGGTTGCGCGCCTCTTCTGAGGGGGTGGATTGTTCACTATTCTGGGAAGTCCCAGTTACTAACAACTAACTCTACTAATTTCCTAACCATTACCTTTGTTAAAAAAAAAAAAAAAAAACCTGATTGATAATGCATTTCACTTATCATGGTCCAGTGTGGTCCGGGGGCTACTTATTGTCTCAAAAGGCAGCACGTGATTTGCACTTTTAAGTTCCGGGTTCAATATCCCCTACTAACACTTCTAACATACTAACCTCTAATAATTGTCCTTAAAAAAAAAAAAAACCCTCGGTTGATAATATTGTTGACCTAACATGATACAAAGATAAACCAAAGGCAAAAGTTTAACCAACCCTATTGGGTCCTTTGCCTTGGGTTGAAAACTGAGATTAGGAAGATAGACCTAATTAGAGCTACTTAATGGATAAGGGTCTTCAAGCATTTGGGTTTTAGTTCGTATTTTGTTGTTTGTACTACCAAACCATAATGCGCCTTTCTCTGTTCCAGGGAAATGAAAGAAGAGGGATTGTTTTCTGTTCACGTTGAAGATTCTGTAAGGCTTTGTTGAAATGTATTGTCATTATAGTGCTCCAAAGACAAAAGATGTACACCAGGACATAACAAGTCAATGCTAAGACAAAATTAGCTACTGTGAAAAAATGTGTTGCAATTCATGTCGGTGATGACTAACATCCCCATTTCAATGAAGCAGAGAAGTCAGATTCTAGCTATCATTACGAAAATTCATTGGCTTGAATTCTAATGTTCTGCTCAATCCATTCCATCACATTTATCATTTTCTTTTTCTGTTTGTGACTTGGTGAAGCAACAAAATAAGCATTACTATTAAACAACAAAGAGTTTCATGCATTATCACGCTTTTAATTTCAAAGAACAACATATAATAAAAACATAACAGGACACAAATATCAATCTCCAACTTGACAAATACCTCAGTCCCAGCATATTTCTTGAGAATTTTCTTCGCAACAGCTACAGCAGCAACTCTTTCAATGGTTTCTCTGGCTGAAGATCTACCACCTCCCTTCAATGGATCCCAAATACATTACCTAGAAAAGGGGATAATTCTATATACATTGCAATGATAGAAAAGGTAGAATTACTTGCACTCCCTTAATAGCATATTTCTTTGGTATGTAAAGAATAGGGATTAAACTCTAAACTTGTAGTTAAAAGTACAAGTAATTTTATTATTAAATTACAGAGTTGATGGTCCCTTAATACCATATTTCATGTTGTAATAAGTTGCATCGCTTGAGAATGATATGATAACCGAAGGCTTCTACACAGCATATGAGTAAAATCAATTGCAATAGTCTAATATTTAGACATGTTCAAATCATGGTCCTAAACTAAACTAAATGAGCAATTAGCTTTGTAGAGGCACTTGACCCTTCAGGTCCAGTGACATTAGTCACATTGAATAGGTGCACTCCCACCCTCTTGAATGAATTCAATCCTGTCCCATGTCAAATTGTTCAAAAAAAACTAGCTTTGCAGAGTGGACTCCTAATTACCTACTACTTAATTGTTGCCGTTAATGATTTCAATCAGAGATTCAGAAGGATCCAACCCAACTCTACACACAAAATATTCAGTATTTAGTGTAGTTATTTTTTAGGAACATTGGGGCTCAACCCAAACAAAAGCAACCTAGAAGGCTTTTCTTCATGACCGTGTTATTAATTGGGTCGAGCCCCAGTTACATACTGTATTTAGGAACATTGGGGCTTCACATTAATATGGAAACTTTGAAATCTCAAGCTCCATGGTGGTGTTTTTTCTATCTTTCTTTTACTACTTTTTTGGGCTCGATCCAAACAAAAGCAACTTACTCACTGGCCCAATATTGAAATAGGTCTGGGCCCAGGTAGGGGGCAGCTGAACTCGGCCCTGTCAAATTAATTAAGAATTTCCCTATAATTACAAAAGTCCCCTTATTAAGCAGAGACTGAACCCTAATAGCACGTTTGGAGTGCAGGTTAGGATTGGATTAAATAAAATTAATAAGATAAGAAGGTCTACAAATGGCCTCTCTCTGTTCAACCTCCTCCGACCAAAACAACCTCCTCTCCCATAATCTGATCTCTTCAAAGTCTCAACTATGGTTGTTAATGAGTAAAATAGTTCATGAGTAACTTATGAATTATTATTTGAGTTTAACTTAATTCATTTGTTAAATTAGTCAAGTTCAAATTTAATAT